TTTAGTAACTATTCCCTAATCATCAATCATCTTTTTTTCTCACTTAAAGGGACACTACGGCGTTTTGTATTTGTTCTGGTGAGTATACTGTAATCATTCCCTTGAGGCTTTTTGCAGTACATACTGTCAATTCAAAGTAAAGTCAGTGTTTACATTACAACCTCCACTGGCCACTTCTCAGATGGCTACTAGAGGTGCTTCCTTGGGCAAAGCTGCACAATGTGCAGTACTGCCATTCAGTGTCTCCACCCTCTGCATGCAGACACTGAACATTCCTGATAGAGATGCATTGATTCAATTAATCTCTATGAGGAGACGTTGATTGGCCAGGGCTGTGTTTGGCTTGTGCTGGCTCTGCCCCTGATCTGCCTCCTTGTCAGTCTCAGCCAATCTATGGGAAAGCACTGTGATTGGCTCAAAATACCACTTCTGATTATGTCAGCTAAGTAGGCAGAACAGGGGCAGAGCCAGCAGCAGCAGACTGAAATAAATATAAATCTTTGCTATATATAGGGGGGCAAGGAGGACCGGGGGCTAGATGGTGTTTTTAACAGTATAGGGTCAAGAATACATCTAAAATAGGTACAATATTGTTTATATATATATATATATATATATATATATATATATATATATATATATATATATATATATTTTAATTTAATTTTGGAATATTAGTTTTGGAATATTGTTTTTAAATATTTGTGTTTATGTTTTTCTTCTCAGATGTTTAGCTGATTCCCAAATATCAATTTTTGTATGGTCAAGAATACATGCTTGTGTTCCTGCCCTATGGTGTTCCTTTAATCATTTCTCGGTTCTTAGCACTGTGGAAAAAAAATTGAATCATGAGACAAACAAACATGTTTGACCATTGTCAGGATCATTTGTTTGTGATACATCCATATGGCACTTGGGAATTACAGAATTTGGACAGCTGCCAAAACAAAATCCCAGTTCATTTGACACAATGCTCACGTCTAATTCTTATATATTACTTGTAGTGTGTTAACCAACCAGTAGAGGGAGCTGGTCATGAGAGCCTAGTGCAAAAAGGGCCAAACATTAAAGGACACCTCAGGCAGGGCCAGCTTTTTGGGTGTGCCAGCTGTGTGGTCACAAAGAGCGCAATTACAACAGTGGTGCCTGGCGGCTGACACAGCTTAAAAGCAGAGACTTGCATATTGTATTAAAATTATTCCCTGGTGGTCCAATGGTGCACACCATCATGAGGTACAGTCAGACTATAATATCCTCCCCCTCGCAGCTTTGGCACTCAGTTAGTGAGTTAGAGTGCAGCCTCAGGGTTTCACAGCCTGCAATCTGACTCAACATTAAGCACCGGAACCGCAAAGGAGAAGTTATAATGATCTGCACCAAGAGATATGGTGCGCACCCAGTTATTCACCATAGAACCACCAGGGAACCTTTATAGACCAGCACTGGATCACCATGGACAGAGGGGGCCTTTGTGACAGGGCACTGAAGGGAAGCAGAAGCAGTTTGGAACAAGGTTGGAGATTGAGTGGCTGCATTGAAATCTAGCCTTAACGAGTTACCAGTCTTAAATATGAAATAGATTGCGCTCAGCCACATTCTAGGGGGCTGCAGACTGCTCAAAGGGTTTCATTCAGAATTACACTAAGTGTAATTCTGAAAATGGCTAGTAGACAATGACAACATACCACCATATACTCTGATTAAATAGTGAAACCCATTTCTAATATCAGAATTGATATTAGCATTGGGTTACCTTAGAGTTGGGGTTAGTGATGGGATTAGGCTTATGAAAGAGTTAGATTTAGGTGTAAGAGTAGGGTTAGGGTTAAAGTTAGTGTTAGGGTAGGGTTATGCTTATGTTGGCTGTAGGGTTAGGGTTAGTGTATAGTTAGGGTAAGGTAAGTATTAATGCTGGGTATTGGTTAATGCTGAGTATTGCGTAAGGGGTATGGTTAGTACAGCTATTAAACATTTATTTAGATCCTTGACCTATTAGGCATTTAACAATCAGGAATGATAAATAATCTATTTTGAGTTATTTTTACGCACTGGACGTGTAAAAAATATTATAAGCAAACGTTAAAAAATCCCCCCCCCCCCAATTGTTTCCTATTTTCTAAACATGTTTTTCACATGTAATGTTGTGTTACATATACATATAGGAAATTAAATTACGCATTTTCTGTCCTTTAATAAAACAATAAATAATATGCTGTGGGCACTTGAAGAGAAACTCTTAAATTATGGTGGAACACGCCTGACGCTCAAATTAGAGGTCTTGTTTTAGTTCAGAACATGGGCAATCGCCTTTGTCCTTAATGAGTTAATTACTAAGGTGATCGCTCCTTATACAGAACTTTGCCCTGAATAGCACCCCATGGACGTCACATTTCATACGACCAAATGAAACTTGGTTATTGCAGCGCAAGAGCTTCTAGTTAAGAAGACATCCACTAGAGGAGTGTTTAGGCTTTCCATTAAAACATTGCTGTATCTACTAAATGGCAATGTTTACAATTGAAGGGCTAAAATTAAAGAACCACTGAATCCAGACTACTTCATTGAGATGAAGTGGTTTGGGTACCTTTAGTGCTCCTTTAACCCCTTAAGACCGGAGGGCGTACTATTACGCCCTATTTTAGGCGGCTCTAAATGCCGCTGGGCGTAATAGTACGCCCTCCGGCCTTTCATTACTTACCCGGTTGCCGGCGATCCCACACTGGCGATCGCGGTTGGGGGGACTCCCAGGGAGCCCCCGCAGCAGATCTTCCGCCTGGCAGCCCCCCCGGCCATGTGAGAGTGAGGTCCTTGCAATCACATGGCCGGGATAGCTGGCTGCAGCATTGCCATCAGGGGGGCTGCCTCTAATGACAGGTAGTCCCCCTGCTGGCTGGAAATAAATTAAATTAAAGTAATAAAGTGTAAAAAAAAAATATATATATATCAAATTACACGTAGACTGATACTGATTAAATATATATAATTATTGTTATATATATTTATATATAATATAAAAAATTAAATATGTAAATACGTAAAAAAATAAAATTTAAAAAATAATTAAAAATAAATAATTAAAAAATATATACACATAGAACAAAATAATATATATATCTATATATATATGTATATATCACTATATATATATATACCTATATATAAATAAAAATATTTTAAAAAAATTATATATACATATATATTCACATCCTGACGAAAGTTCTGCTAAGGAACTGAAACGTTGAAATATTGTGGCAGCTGCTGAATAAAAGCTAAGTTATTATTTTTTCACAATACCTTTTTGAAGTCCTTAGAGTGCTATTTTCTACTTTCCTGTATATATATATATATATATATATATATATATACACATATACTAATTCTACATGTATATTTATGTAATATTTTTACATAATTAGGTATCTTAATTAATTACAATTAGCGGGACCTGCCTGACAACCCATGCCGAAAGTAAAGGGAATTTAATTTGCTAGCACTATATTTAACCCTATAACTTTCCAAGACACCATAAAACCTGTACATGGGGGGTACTGTTCTACTCGGGAGACTTCGCTGAACACAAATATTAGTATTTCAAAACAGTAAAATGTATTACAACGATGATATCACCAGTAAAAGTGACTTTTTTGCATATTTCACGCACAAACAGCACTTACACAGACGATATTATTGCTGCAATACTTTTTACTGTTTTGAAACACAAATATTTGTGTTCAGCGAAGTCTCCCGAGTACAACAGTACCCTCATGTACAGGTTTTATGGTGTTTTCAAAAGTTACAGCGTCAAATATAAGGCTTGTGTTTCATTTTTTTCACATTAAAATTTGGCAGATTGGTTACGTTGCCTTTGAGGCCCTATGGTAGCCCAAGAATGAAAATTACCCCTATGATGGCATACCATTTGCAAAAGAAGACAACCCAAGGTATTGCAAACGGGGTATGTCCAGTCTTTTTTTTTTTTTGTAGTAGCCATTTGGTCACAAACACTGGCCAAAATTGGCGTTTTTTGCATTTTTCACACACAAACAAATACTAACGCTAACTTTGGCCAGTGTTTGTGACCAAATGGCGACTAAAAAAGACTGGACATACCCCATTTGCAATACCTTGGGTTGTCTACTATTGCAAATGGTATGCGATATGGGTGTAAATTTCATTCCTGGGCTACTATAAAGTCCCAAAGGTAACGTAACCAATCTGGCGAATTTCAATTTCAAATGTAACATGCTATATTTGACCCTGTAACTTCCAAAAACGCCATAATACCTGTACATAGGGGGTACTATTTTACACGTTAGACTTTGCTGAATACAAATGTGTATATTATTGCAGTAAAAGCAAACAGTATTATGACATTGACAGTTAAAATTTCATGTAGAACTAAAAAATTTTTAAAATTTTTTATTTTCTCCCATTTTTTTCATATTAAATTGTTTTCCTTTTATAATACTTGATATTAAATGAAAGCCATGTTTCCCCTGAATAAAATGATATATGATAAGGGTGGGTGCATTTACTATGAAAGAGGTGAATTACGGTTAGACAGACATGTAGTGAAAATGCCAGGTTTTGTATACATTTTGTTTTGTTCACAACGTGTACATCTGGCTCCGTCCTTAAGGGGTTAATGTTAAAGAAGGAAAACAAATGCTCCAAAACAGCCTCAGTCATGAACAAACAGAAATTCTGAAAATTGTCAGGCAATAAGGCACTTTTAAAAATAATTCTAAACTCATCTCTTGACAGAGAGATAGAACTGGTGAAAAAACTGGTGAAAGAACATACATATTATGTAACGTTATTTTTAGTGAAAACCCACAGTTAATAACTCTGGTCTTCCACGTTTCTGTGCAGGTAGTGAAGCTGGTAAAACCACAGAAACTAACTATCGGTCTTCAAACATTGTCTGACCTAAGGTACATGGTACTTATGATACCTGTCGTACTACCTGTCTGTCAGAATTACCCCATATTATTGTCACTCAGATCGGCATTACCCGTATGACTTCCGGGTTTTGCTGATCCAACTCTGCCCATGCGTCTGACATCACGCACTTCCCTGTCAAAAGGATGCCACGGCCGCATTCACAAGGTCAATCAATTTGACACTTTAAAATTTTGCTACTTTGTTGCCAATTGCCGACAGAGCTCCTTCTATTGATCACCCGTGTACTGAACCTCTGCTACCTGATCCTGACTACCCTGACTTCTTCACTCCCAGACTCGGAACAGACTTGACTACGAATTCCTCTTATCCTCAGTATACTGCAGGGATCCTCAATCCTCATAAACCAGGACTTCCATTCTCATCATCCAAAGGAATCAAGCTAAGTTCTTCAGTTAATAGGATTTATAATTGGATCATACCTTATAGTTATTTTGATGGATATAGGGAATACTAATATCTGCCCTCTGGGATTCAATTACTTCTTATTTGCACTACTGAAACTTCAATTACAGCTGATTGCTCTTTCCTAATTTGTTTCATTTATAATTGTTGGACTCTAAAAGGACTATAACCACTATCCAAATCAGGATCTATTTATTTAACTTAAAGGACTGTGTTACTTCCCTAAAACAGGAATGACCCGTTTCTCCTATTTTCTATTTAAGTCTAATGAACTGTATTAATTATTCCTAATCAAGGAGTTACCATATTTTATTTTTTGCTATTTGCATACCATTTTTCTTTGAAGCAATTCTAAGCAACATTACCATTGCTAAATGCAACATTCATTTCAATTTATATTGCTCCTGAGATTGTTAAAAATAATTTAACTTATTTCAATAAATCAAACTTTCTTAAAGTAACAGTATCAAATGTATTCTTTCACCTGCAGTTGAGTTCCAAATGAAGTTTCTCTAAAACCATTACACTGTCTTACACTTAAGGTAGTAATTAATTTTTGCCATTTCTTTTTACATACAATTCATTAAAACAGATTCTATTTCCTTTCAAACTCGATTAAATTATTACAAGTAGTGCACTGCAAATGCTTCTGGCTCTTAATTGCTGAGACAAGAGAAGATGTAGGTGTGGTATGCAGGGAATGCCCACAATTAACAGGGTTATTTACTAAAGTTAGAATTTAAACTGAATTTCAAATTTAAGGTCAATGTAGCCGAATTTAAAAAAATTATCTAAATTAGCTTTGTTTTAATTTCGGCTACCCTCAGCCATAACTTTACATTTTTAATTCTCTTTGAATTCATTTTGAAATCTCACTTTAGTAAATAACTTTACTATAGCTTTTTTACGTCCAGACTTTCTACCAATTTTTGGAAGTTATAGGGTAAATAATGCAAAGAGTTAATTATTGTTTTAATGGAATGCACTTGCAAAATTTCATATGTGGATACCACTAGTTTAATAGCAGTTACCCAATCTAGAAATGTTACACAAATCTATTAGGGATGTGCATGAGCAAAAAGTAGTTTCAGTTTGGAAATTCGGGTAAGTAAAAAAATTTGTCTGCTTTGGCAATTTGGACCAATGGCATTCAGTTCGGTTCGGCACTTTGGAAAATCAGCACTTCGGCAATTCGGAACTTCAGTAATTCGGACCCTAACCCTAACCCTACCCCCTAACCCCTAAACCCTAACCCTAAACCCTATCTCTAACCCTACCCCTAGCCCACTTCGGAACTTCGGCAATCTGGAACTTCAGCAATTTGGAAGCATCCCAATGTCTGAATTGCACGAAATTCATCTGATTTTACAGTCGGAACGAAATGAATTGCACATGTCTAAAATCTATATATATGAACCACCCAAGGTATTTAATGAAGTTAATTTTGACACTTTTCATTTAACATTCATAAGCAACCTCTGCCAAAACTGAGAGTTAGATTTTGTTTTTTCTGTGATGTGACATTACCAGTGGCTCCCCAAAATGACAAGCTTTTTCCATAGAAATCTTTCCAATGCATCTGATATGACCTAAATTTGCTAATTCCTTAGGAGAATTCCCAGATATCTGGAGACTAGGTTGTCTCAGAAATGAGGTTGGGAGCCTCCAGGCTTGGCCAAGTCAGATTTACGTTCAGGTAGATAATGTAATGGTAGTTGCTAAGCATCACATAGGGATTCAATAATTTCAACATGTGGCACTTTCTGTGATTCATATTCTGGAGATCAGCAGTTGAGAGGCAGACTTCTTCATCTTTCAGGTGTGGGGAAAGCCTCTAGAGGCATTCACTCCCTACATCCTTTGATTTTAAAGGATGTCATTTTCTGTGTCGTCAAACATGGCATAATGATGGCAGCAGCACACACACACACAATGTCAAATGGGATGTCAGTTTTTGGGAACATGCGTCTCTGTGGGAAGATGCGTCTGTGTGAGTGTGCCTGGGATAGTGTGTCTGTGGTGGGCTACATAATTTTGTATGGGGTCCCACAAGTCCTGATGGCAATCCTAAGTTTCTAAGAGTTAATGCATTATTTGACAGTTTTCTAATGCAGAAGGCAACAATCTGTACCACTACTCTCATAAACCAAATCACACTGTATAACTTCAATTTTATAACTTGGGATCATACCTTATAGTTATTTTGATGGATATAGGGAATACTAATATCTGCCCTCTGGGATTCAATTACTTCTTATTTGCACTACTGAAACTTCAATTACAGCTGATTGCTCTTTCCTAATTTGTTTCATTTATAATTGTTGGACTCTAAAAGGACTATAACCACTATCCAAATCAGGATCTATTTATTTAACTTAAAGGACTGTGTTACTTCCCTAAAACAGGAATGACCCGTTTCTCCTATTTTCTATTTAAGTCTAATGAACTGTATTAATTATTCCTAATCAAGGAGTTACCATATTTTATTTTTTGCTATTTGCATACCATTTTTCTTTGAAGCAATTCTAAGCAACATTACCATTGCTAAATGCAACATTCATTTCAATTTATATTGCTCCTGAGATTGTTAAAAATAATTTAACTTATTTCAATAAATCAAACTTTCTTAAAGTAACAGTATCAAATGTATTCTTTCACCTGCAGTTGAGTTCCAAATGAGTTCCACAAGCAAGGAGCAGTGATGTGCATTGTGTTACTGCAACTTTCCCATTTTCAGCTCATTTCCCTCTAGACCTGATTTCATACCTCCAAATATCGAGGAAAGAAATTAAAGAAATTAAAGCAAAATCAAGTATAATCATTTTTAAAAATGCACATTGGTAAAAAAATAAACAAATAAATTAAAAATCCAGCATAACTAACTGAAACCTAAACCCTGCATTGCACCTGATATGGGTGGGAGCCTGGAATGCCCCTTTAATGTCTGATCCTAATATTCCTGGGACAAGCACACTTTCTACGTATGTATACCTGACCATTTTACATGTTTTAGTATAATCAAGTAGCAAGGGAACTGAGGGGAGGTGTTCCCCGTATTCTCCTCTGTTATGCTGTACACATCCGATACATTTCCACTTAAAGGCCCCATACTGGGCATCCCTTATCCATCTGGGAAAACCACATCCTCCTTGTTATGCCTCCTTTAATCACGACGGAGCCTGTAACCTTATAGCCTACGTGATCTGACAGGGAGATCCTTGAAGCAGAAAACATTTATGTATTTTTAGGGTATGGCTCCGACACATTAACCGATGCCTTCTTTCTCAATAAGTACTTTCTGTCTGATTTTTAAGGTAACATTTTTTTTTCCTCATGGGGTTTCAATACATTAGATAAAAAGCCCCCTCAAAGAGGAAGTGGCCCATTACAGGCCTAAATTAAGACCCCAAAATAATTAGCTCTCCACAGGTAGTGCCCATATCAAAAGCAGTGATCCTCACATCCCAGCAGACTCCGTGGGCGAAAAGAGCCTTGATCAATACCCGCTTGAGTTTCATAAAGTTATCTATAGAAGGAGTCTAATTTGAACCACATGTGTGCTGAATTTTATTATCAGACTTTGAAAGCTAAAGATTTGCTCAGTGAACTGACCTTCGTCCTTAGGCAGCAGACCCCCTCTCCACCTAATGAAATAATTCTATTAGTGCATCACAGGCCTCTGTTTGCTTGAGTCATTTAACTGCAATAATGTCTCTCCGGATTCACATAAAAAGATAGAAGAAACCTCTGCAACAATGTGGAAGGACATGTAAGTCTGTATATATACATTCTTCATTGAGTAACTTCATTGGGAAAAAAATCAACAAACGAACAAAAAATTATTTACCTTAACCTTTGTGACCTGAGAGGAACTATGTAGAACTATAGTGAATAAGTTAAGTCAAATGGGGAAAAATTAAGAGAGCATATTGTGGTGTCCCAAAGGTTACACAATAATTTCTTGTATGCTTGTCAACGTTGTAGCTGATATCTAGAACTGGAACTCGGCAGAGGAGGAAATCTCAAAAAAGTATTTCTTTTTAAAAGGCATCTAGTATGTTTTGAGGAAAGTCACAAGTAGTGTTGATTTGATCTTTATGGTATTTTAACTGGAATAAATGTTTTGAATTTCATTAAACACACACATACACACATGTAGTTTGTGTATAAAAGGTTAGGATCACATTACTATGCCAAGTAGCTTTCAGCCATGCTTGACCTAGAGACTCCCACTTAAAGCCAGCACGCGTATATGCAGCAAGCCAGATGTGTAGGTAGAAATTTAATAAAGAT